CCTCTTTCCAGTTTGTTGCTATCAGTCTTTTAGCTGTCTGGCATCCAGTTGCTATAATTTGTGTATTGTGTTTTGACCAGTTTCCTTTAACCATGTAATTCAAAAGACAGCGACTATTACACAATTCAAGTACAAAATATTTATAAATGTATATATATATTTGACAAATTTAAAAGCTATATTAAATTTTGCCCCTGGAATCCACCCTGAATCCGCCCTTCTGCTGCGATCAGGATAATCCCGATTATTTTAGTAAAGGTATAAAAGTCCTGCTAAAAAAAAATTTGAACAACATACATTAAAAGTTTGATCCAGAACAAAGAGTGGATCACGTGATCTAATTTGATTTAAACAGCCCATTTTCAAAATTTGATCCTACCTGATCAAAATCTGATCAGATTACTTCTGGACACCTGGGCTGTGGTTCTAATTTAGTTGTGTATTTTGCAATATTTCAAATAATACTGGAAAAAAAATAGGTCTGTTAAGTCAAATTAGGTGTCCAGTCATCAACACATTAATTTTTACTTTGAGTTTTTGCTTTCTGTACACACAAACGTGGGGAGGAAAACCTTGGAAAATGAGTGTCATTGTTTTGTGTATTAGCCTGTCACAAACAATACAAATGAACAGATTTTCTTCTCTTTTTTTGTAATTAATGAATCATTGATCAACAATCATGATGCATAACTGTAAATTCGGTGTATCATCTTGAGGCTGTTTGACAGCAAATTCCTGGGCTGCTTTTTCTTGCCAGCCCACCTCTGATAGTTGCTGATTAATTTTTTGACAATCAATAAATGGATTAAACAGCTCATCATAGCAGCTCTATTCTTTACAGCTTTTTAAACCTAGTTACAACAACGTACGCAGGCCAGCTGAGCCTCTTTGGCCTCGAGACACAAAAGTGATCAAAAGGTAAAAAAAAAAACAACAAAAAAAAAAAACAGGTTAAAAAACAAGAAAAAGATAGAAATGAAAAAATAGTGTTTAAATGTATAATGATGATGATCAGACTATCATCTTTAGGAACACTGCAAACCTCTGGCGAGGGATGAATACCCTCTTTCTCACCTCTCTGTCCACCCGCCCTCTCAGAGGTTAAAATTCCTTCGACTGCTCTGCACACATGTGTGTGTATTAGTATGCACGCGTGTTCGCAGACACGGTTCCTTACCTCGTGCAGGTGGGTGCAGTAAATATTAGCTTTTCAAATGAACATGGCCACCCTCAGATATTTAAAGGACGAAATTGAGAGGCTTTCTTTTTTTATTTTTTTCCTGCTGGCAGGCTGCTCCAAACCAACAGCAGACAGCTTGGTCACATTCAACAAACATTAAGTAACCATTGACTTCAGTCTGTATCTTCTACTGCAGCTCATTTTGGACTTAGGGAAAGGAGGAGCTGAGAAAGGGCGCTGGGTTCACCTTGACTGCAAACAAACAGATATTAGCAGAGGCCTGCTGCCTCATATGATACCAGTGGATTATAAAGCAACACATATAACCTGGGGACATACAGTTGCTGTCTGTAGCTATAGACATAAACACTGCAGACACACAATAGTATATGTTGCAGGGTGGCACGTATCGTGGGCCTCTCCCTGCCCTGGAGACAGACAGACTGACAGAAAGCAGTGATCTTATGGTTAGCCAGAGGCCACAGGCACGCTGAAAATGAGACCTTGAAGAACTGTCGGGAGACACTGTCACTTTTTCCGAGAGATGTCCATTCAGGGAGCTACCCCTGCATATTTCAGCATGACAGACAAGCAAGTGGCCTTTAAAACATGTGCAAACTACAGAAAAGAAATTGAAGAAAGGGAAGTCTTGCTGATGTAAACACAGTGGGACAATAATGATAAAGAAAACCTAGTTTGTATCTGTCCTTCAGGAGTTCAGCTCACCTTACAGCGAATCCACTAGCATGCTTATTAACCTTAAAGAGCACAGAGGACAGCATCACAGTGCTGCTGTTCAGCGTCATGTAGTGTAACATTACATCAAGGTTACAGTTGGCAAATCAATTAGCAAAAACACAATAGAGAGCTGGGCCCTCAGAATCCACGGGGCTATTTAAGCAGACGATGCTGAATGAAAGGAGCTTTTAGTTTCCATATTGGGCAGCTTGGGGATGCCAGCGTTTGGGGCTGTTTTGAGGTTTGGAGTTGGCCTGAAATGCTTTTCAGCTATTGGCTGCTTTTGGACTGCAGGAGGTTGTTTACTACGCTGGAAAAAGGTGATGTGTTTTAGTGGCACAGGGTGATTTTTATCGGTTTACCCCGTGTTTGGGCACCGGTTGCCAAGAGAGATCTTTCATCGAGCCACTCTCTTTAAACCGCCTTCAGTGACAGAAAGCTTGCAGGCCACCGTGTGGTTGGACACGCTGGGGATTGTCAGGTTTTGTTTCTGTTTCTGGGCTTTTGTGTCCGCTGTCACTGTTTCTGTTGAAGGAGGCACATAACAGAGGAAAAAAACAGACTTCACAAATTTTTTTTCTGCTGTTGTATTTATCAAAGTACAGCTCAGTATAAACAGGAAAGGATCTGTGACAACACCAGCGCTTTTCTGAAAAGTTCAGAGACTTTCCACTTCCGCAAAAAAAAGGCTATGTGGACACATGCCTTTAAAAGTTTTTCCATTAAAAAAAAAATCTCTACCTGCCCTGAAACGGCTTGTATGTAACACCTTTGTCTCATTTAGTATGTTTGGTGCTATGTACATGCAAATTAATCCCTGTCTCTGTGTCCACCCACCCCTCATTCACTCACCTGCAGCTTGAGCACATCTGCTTACCTTCGTTTCGACTCAGCTCATTGTTCTCTATAAATATAACAGTAATAAATAACAGTAGCCTTTGGCCTGACTACAGTGTTATTAAACAGATGATAATGTGTTGCTAATGTTGGATAAACTTCATTCCCGATCACGAGCTCTGGCAAGTCGAGTGAACATGAATTGTGTAAAATGCAAAATACTGATGCATAGGTACACCTGGTTTCTCCCTGCAAGTTGGCCGGATTGGTTCCTTAGATATGCAGTGGTGCCCCCAAGAGGGGTCAAAGGGGGGCATGGACCCCTGTTACAATTACCCACCCAATTAATGAGAATTAGAAACATGTAATGTAAAATAAGAAACCAAAGTATATCAGTATTAAATTCCTTAACTCTCATGTTGACATAGTTTTCAACTAGCCTAGGTGAAGTCCTGAAATTTAGTTATGGCTTTTGATTTCGGTGTGCCACCCCAAGATTTTCAGTGGCCCCATTTGGCGACCGCTATGAAAAATTTCTGGTGGCACCACTGTATATGTGATATATGAAAACCTGGCTGTCTGAATCTGTGCCTCTGAGACTGTAATCGCCACTCTGCAGTTCCAAAGTGGGAAAGCTCAGCCATTATTTTTATTGGAGGGCAAACAGTTTCCACTGTTCGTGTCTTACTTACATTTTAGTCAATAATAGCAGTCCATTCGTTTACTCCTCAGTTTTTTAACAATAGTGTTTAAAGTTCAGATGGGTGGATGAAGAGAGGAGAGGAGACGAGAGGGCTGTCCTAAATCCCTGTGACGCTGTGTTTCTCTCCTTCGGTTTTTTTTCCTTCCTGGAGCAGCACAATCAGAAAGAGTCATTCATTCATGTCCAGCTGCCGGCTCGGTCCTCTCGTCCTCTCCTCGCTGCTGACAGGAAATTCTGACCTGTGGTCTTTTCGGACGTGTTCGGAGAGAAAGATGCAAAACCTAGACGGAGAAATGTGTGTTAGTGTGTGAGCACAGGAATGAACTCTGTGTGTGTGGGTGTTATCTGCCTGCATCTGTGCGTTTACGTCTCCCATGAAGAATCCTCCTGAATTCTGATCCACCTCTCGTTATCACTTACCTTTCCTCCCCCACTTTGTCCCCGTGCCTCCGTCCCCCCCACTCTCGCTCCTGTAATGCCTCCTATTTGTCCCTAAATGATTTTTTGGGGGATACGGTTGCTCAGCGGTGTGGCTTTTTCTCCACCAGCCTCTCTGCTTTTTAAATCAGCGGCTCTCATTGCAGAGCTGGACTCTCTCACGTTAATGTAGTTGTTAACAGCCTGTGGTCACCGGGCGGTTTGTGTGGCTGTGCTGTTTGAGCTGACACGCTCACTGGAGGGAGAGTGGAAGGCTGTGTGGAAGCTCTGGATCCCAAAATGACCGGGCAGAGAGGGACGCTGTGTGTCCCATTTGTACTTTTGTCTGTTCACACTCAGGGTTCTTTATTGTTAATCACAAATCAGATTCACAAAGTTGACAAGCAGCAAAAAAATAGAAATGGAGAATTTTCAAGAAATTCATTTGTTAGAACAGTTTTTTTGTTTCTTTTTTTCTCTTTTCTAAAATTACAGTCCAGCCACCTGTGACTTCATCTTCCCACTGATCATGTCTCTGAATTTGTGTTTCCTCTACTTGATTTTGTCACCTCCTTCCTCCAGGACAAATCTCAAACAAAAACAGCTTTGTTAAATTACAAACAAGTAGGGGACAAATGATAGAAAACACGGTGCTAATCTCTAATCAGAGCATCTTGGATTGAAATTCAAATGATGTTATTGTTGTCAAACTACAGTCGTCTTTTGTGTCACATCCACGTCTCGTAGTGAGAGTAGAATAAGAATAGCACTCGTAGGAGGGTGTTACTGAGAGTCACTAGCCGCCGTCTAATAAACGTCTTCACCTACACACCTACGTATCCTTCAGCAGCTCTGTGATCATCCCTTGATTTGTGATACTGTCTAATGAGCCGTGGGTGTTTCAGAAACTTAAGAAGACTGTTAGATTACACACAGTATTCAGCTCTGACTCTGCATACCTGCCCTCGTCACCGCAAATGTCTCCGCTTCTCAGCTGTTGAATGTGTGTATTTGGGTGAAGTTTGGCTGTTCTGTAAACACGACAGAGGACTGTAACTCTCAAGTGTGCGAGTGTGTGGTTCAGGTCTGTTAAATCCACTCCGTCTGTGTCTCTCATCTCTGCAGGAGTCGGAAGATCCAGATCCGGAACATTCCCCCTCATCTACAGTGGGAGGTCAGTTGTTTGTCTGTGTGTGTATGTCTGTGTGTGTATGTCTGTGTGTGTCTGTGTGATGTCCAGTTGAAGCACCAGGTAGCACATAAACCAGTCTCCGGACCATGAGTCATCAGCTGTTATACTGTATTTCTCTGTAGACTTGAGTATTTGTGTGCATGTGTGCTTATATTTATGCCAGTGTTTGTTACTGTGTAGATGACAACGTGTCTGTGCATCAACATCTGTGACCTTGTCGGGGTCCAAGTTGTTTTTCTCTGTGTGAGTGTCTCTGTCGTCATGCCTGACGACTCTCCTGTGTCTCAGGGTTGCTATATATCTTCACACTTGTAGAAAACTTCCAAAACTTCTCAGACTACGAAGAAATTTAAAAGAATCAACACATCAATATCGACACAAGTGGACCATCACTCTCTGTGTTTGTTGCACTGGTATAAAACATTGCCACATCTCTTTTTTTACACTTAACTTTTCAGTGCAACCAAGGAAAGGTCAAAACCAAACTGACGATAGCTCATTAATATATGCATGAATATATACACATACATAATATGATACTAGTCCATACCCACAGGTAGTTTTGTTACCTTCTACCTATGCCAATCCTCAATGCCTATGTGCAGTTTCACATAGATTGACCATGTCAGTGAGTAGAAAAACGTGGGACAGACAGAATGACTGACTGACAGAATGACACACTGACAGTTTCCGTGATTATGTACAGCATACCATAACATGACTTAGTCATACCAAAAATTAGAAAAAACAAACAAACATTTGGCCACAGGGGGAGCCACAGCGATCGGTCTTATTTTAGCCATTTTCTGTTGTTATAGCGCCACCCAGTTGCCAATTAGAGCTAAATTTCTTCAGTCACCTTGAGGCGTCCTGTTCTACATATCTACCAAGTTTAGTAAAACTCGATATGGCAGTTACGCCTAGATAAGAAATTAGCTCTCTAGCGCCCCCATTTTGTTTGATGGGGTCAATAATGGAGGGGGTCCCCTCAGATTATGTGTGGTCATATGCCTACAAAGTTAAGTGGTGATTGGTGAAACCCCTGAGATGTTATACACCTTTATGTGATGAGCCACGCCCTCCGCAATATTCATTGCCTTACAGAAGCTCAGTTTTAGTAAGTTTTCCAACTTTTGCCAAGAGGGAACTTTAGATATTGGTCCCTAGATTATGTTCACCCAGTTTCATGCGGATCGGTCAAACTTCCTAGAAAGAGATCGATTTTAAGTGTTTTTCAAAAAATTCAAAATGGCGGAAAATCTATATAACCGGAAGTTATGGGTTCTTGAGGCAAATTTGTTCCTCATGAGGAGAGGCATCTCTGTGCAAAGTTTCATGTCTCTATGACATATGGGGCATGAGATATGCCCATTCAAAGTAATATTGCTTCATTCGCATCCTCCCATGACCCTCTACCACTGTGCCAAATTTCACATGGATTGACCAAGTCAGTGAGGAGAAAAACGTGGAACAGTGACACAGACAGACACACCCACAGACAGAGTTTTCGTCATTATATAGTAAGATGTATATTATGTGTCTTTGTTGAATACTCGACACTGATTGGTCAATCATGGTATTCTACAGTCTGTAATTTCTTATTTCAGACCTCTGAATGACAATAACAGACTGCTGCTATGGTTTGCTGTACTCCTGATCATAGATGCTCAGCAATATAAGCAATAAAATAATTTTCAAATCACTATTTTGTGTCAAATTATTGATTTAATTAGTAAGCAGGATAATGGACAGCGGTCATTATTGCAAGAAAAAGACCCTTCATCTTTCTCTCATCCTGCATCACCTCATCAGGGTTATTTGGCAATAATGACCCACTTGCGATACATTATGCCTTACATACGCACTGTATGTGTGTGTACAGTACAGGCCAAAAGTTTGGACACACCTTCTCATTCAATGCGTTTTCTTTATTTTCATGACTATTTACATTGTAGATTCTCACTGAAGGCATCAAAACTATGAATGAACACATGTGGAGTTATGTACTTAACAAAAAAAGGTGAAATAACTGAAAACATGTTTTATATTCTAGTTTCTTCAAAATAGCCACCCTTTGCTCTGATTACTGCTTTGCACACTCTTGGCATTCTCTCCATGAGCTTCAAGAGGTAGTCACCTGAAATGGTTTTCCAACAGTCTTGAAGGAGTTCCCAGAGGTGTTTAGCACTTGTTGGCCCCTTTGCCTTCACTCTGCGGTCCAGCTCACCCCAAACCATCTCGATTGGGTTCAGGTCCGGTGACTGTGGAGGCCAGGTCATCTGCCGCAGCACTCCATCACTCTCCTTCTTGGTCAAATAGCCCTTACACAGCCTGGAGGTGTGTTTGGGGTCATTGTCCTGTTGAAAAATAAATGATCGTCCAACTAAACGCAAACCGGATGGGATGGCATGTCGCTGCAGGATGCTGTGGTAGCCATGCTGGTTCAGTGTGCCTTCAATTTTGAATAAATCCCCAACAGTGTCACCAGCAAAACACCCCCACACCATCACACCTCCTCCTCCATGCTTCACAGTGGGAACCAGGCATGTGGAATCCATCCGTTCACCTTTTCTGCGTCTCACAAAGACACGGCGGTTGGAACCAAAGATCTCAAATTTGGACTCATCAGACCAAAGCACAGATTTCCACTGGTCTAATGTCCATTCCTTGTGTTTCTTGGCCCAAACAAATCTCTTCTGCTTGTTGCCTCTCCTTAGCAGTGGTTTCCTAGCAGCTATTTGACCATGAAGGCCTGATTGGCGCAGTCTCCTCTTAACAGTTGTTCTAGAGATGGGTCTGCTGCTAGAACTCTGTGTGGCATTCATCTGGTCTCTGATCTGAGCTGCTGTTAACTTGCGATTTCTGAGGCTGGTGACTCGGATGAACTTATCCTCAGAAGCAGAGGTGACTCTTGGTCTTCCTTTCCTGGGTCGGTCCTCATGTGTGCCAGTTTCGTTGTAGCGCTTGATGGTTTTTGCGACTCCACTTGGGGACACATTTAAAGTTTTTGCAATTTTCCGGACTGACTGACCTTCATTTCTTAAAGTAATGATGGCCACTCGTTTTTCTTTAGTTAGCTGATTGGTTCTTGCCATAATATGAATTTTAACAGTTGTCCAATAGGGCTGTCGGCTGTGTATTAACCTGACTTCTGCACAACACAACTGATGGTCCCAACCCCATTGATAAAGCAAGAAATTCCACTAATTAACCCTGATAAGGCACACCTGTGAAGTGGAAACCATTTCAGGTGACTACCTCTTGAAGCTCATGGAGAGAATGCCAAGAGTGTGCAAAGCAGTAATCAGAGCAAAGGGTGGCTATTTTGAAGAAACTAGAATATAAAACATGTTTTCAGTTATTTCACCTTTTTTTGTTAAGTACATAACTCCACATGTGTTCATTCATAGTTTTGATGCCTTCAGTGAGAATCTACAATGTAAATAGTCATGAAAATAAAGAAAACGCATTGAATGAGAAGGTGTGTCCAAACTTTTGGCCTGTACTGTATATGTGGTGGTAGAAAAGGAGGAGTAAACCCAGCTTAATTTAAGATCTCCAGCCAGAACTTAACAGATAATTAGATAGACCTGTAAGTCTCTGTTTGTCAATCTAACATATAACACAATCATTGTGGTCTGTATTTTAGACCAATATTTGCAATATAACAGAATAAAAGAGGTTGGCAGTCGATTTGATTTAAACTTCAATTGTCTGTCTATTATTAGGTATTCTGTATTGTATACCCAGTAAGTGAGCAGTTTGACTGTGAAACTCTGCCAGTTTTACAGCTTGGCAATATTACAATTCTAATGTGAAGAACTTTTTAACAGCACCAGAAAACACGAATAATTTAGTATAATTTTTGTGTATTGTGGGTGTATTCAAATATCTGTCACTCATTTTGGGAAGTATAGCAAATTCCAGTCTTGTGCTCTGAACGTCACATTTGGATTACAGATTGTACCTTCATTGAAAAAGTAGTCCATTAAAAAAGTAGTAACTACAAGCTTGTTTCAAACTGATTAACTAAGTCTCAGGTCTCACCATTACAAACCTGTGGAATGTCTCAGCTAGTAAAGTCCAGTTCAGACTAAATATTTGAGAAAATATTGAGAAAAGTTGCAGCGGTGTGAACTGGCCAGTCAGAGCTCGACTCAAGCCGGGTTATGGGGTCACCTGCAACCCAGCTGATCAAATCGCCGGCAGGTGGTTTTAGAATTTAATATATATAAGCACATCACGTCTTTCAACAGTCAATTATAGTCAAGTCCGCTGGTCAAGTCAAAATGACCGCAGACGGCACGTTCGCTTGCTGCGGCAGGTGCTCTGTCCCCACCAAGCCCTCTGTTTTCATCCACACTGTGTCTCGGTGCCAGACTGTGGGTCGTTGCTGCTGCTCGCTGTATGTGCGTATGCCCCCCCACCCCACACACACTCTCATTGACTGAGTAATTGGTGCTGGTTATTCATATTATCGTGTGCGCATTTATTATGAATACAGTCCATCTGATGCTCGTTTTGTTTCTGTTTTCGCCATTTCATCACTACTACAAATGCAGCTGTAGCCAGTGTCCCACTATCACTATCCTTATTCATATTTTAAGAAGCTACAAAATATATTCAGCTGCAAATAAGCCCGAAAAGCTAAAAAATCAGAACAGGAATACAGAGAGTTCTTGCATAGAGATGAAACACCATCTCATCTAGCGGCGTTGGTGTGATCCTGCAGGTTTCAACTCGTCTCGTTGTAAATCGTTGGTCTGAACTGGCCTTAAAACCTATGTTTGTGTAAACTGGTTGCTAGGAAACATGTGTAGTGGCATCCAATCACAGGCAATCAACTAAACACATCATTAATATGTATTACAAATGTCAATGGGATTATGAATGAGGCTCTGAAGGTCCAACTGGTCTCACTCCCAACATATCAAATACCATCGTTAGTCAAATACCATAGCTGGTCAGTGGCCCTCGGCATCAGATACCGATTCAGTGTGACATTGATAAAGTCTGCACATGGCAGGTGAAAAGGGAGATAGATGGGTCAAACAAACTCTGGACTTTCACCAAGAAGACCGCTGTTTGTGTCTTGTGTGAAACCAAAGGTCAGCTGAGTTATTATAACAACTTAGAGTACTAGTATGTGCACTAGTGATGTGATGTAACATTACATTAGTAACACAGCCAAACCATGATGCTTTTTCTAAACATAACCACATGCTTTTGTTGCCTAAATGAAAGGGAGCAAACCTACAAGAGAAGTGTTTTACTTCTGCTATAAGTTTATTCTGAAAGGAGACTGTATGCATTTAATGAAAAGGAAAAACTGTACATTTCCTGTAAAAACAGAAGTTTATTGAGAAGACACTATGCATGTAACTACTGTACTGACTGCTGTAACAGCATTCTTTATAGTACATCATCCAAAGCCCCTAAATAAACTCCAGTTCACCCAGAACTCTGCTGCCCATCTGCTCACCCATTCCTGCTCCCACGATCAGATCACCCCTGTCCCCCAGAACCTCCAATTCAAAGTCCTTCTCTTCACTCATGAAGCCCTCCATAACCAGGCTTCCTCCTACCTCACCAACCTGCTCCACCATCACACTCCTTCCCGCAGTCTCTGCTCCTCTGATGCCAACCTCCTGATTCCACCACTGGGGGTGACAGAGCCTTCTCCATAGCTGCCCCCTCCCACTGGAACTCTCTCCCCAAACACATTTGAGGATGCACCTACCTGTCCCAGTTCAAGTGTTCAAGAGTCTTTGAGCACTATGAAAAGTGCTCTGTAAATAAAAATGTATTATTATTATTAAAGAGTGTAAATTGATACGCTCTCCTTGAGCGTTCAAAACTGACGCTGGAGGCATACCAGAGTATCATAGTTTGATGACCACTGACCAAGCGCCGATATTTGACAAGTTGGGAATAAGATCACTGGCCCAAATAAGCACCAAGAGCATCAAGCGTGTGTGTGTGTGTGTGTATGTGTGTGTGTGTGTGTGTGTGTGTGTGTGTTTGTGTCTGTATCCGTGTGTGTTCTTGCGTTTGTGGCCGTAGGTGTGTCTCTAACCCACACTCTCATTCCTCCCTCAGGTTTTGGATGGCCTTCTAGCTCAGTATGGTACTGTAGAAAACGTGGAACAAGGTACAGAACTCTTCTCCTGCCTGATTTTTTTCTTCTGCACAGCTCATCATCACAACTGTTCAATGCACATGTGTCTATTTAGCAACGTGCACGCACACAAGCAGACCTCCCAGTGAGTCAAGTCTCCCTGTGTGACTTGACTTCCTCATTACCATCAACCCACACACCCATTATCTAAACATAACCCATCTCTGGATATAAATCAGCCTTTATCATCTTGTCTGTGTGCGCGCATGTGTGTCTTATAAGTCTGACCCAGGGAGAGCAGCGTTTGAATTACTTGCAGCCTCTATAATAAGCACTGTGTATTGCCACGGGTCCCCTTGGCCTCAGCGTATGGATTGAAGTGGGCAGACATGGCAGACGTCCAGTAGTAATGTGTCCATATGTGTGTGTGTGTGTGTGTGTGTGTGTGTGTGTGTGTGTTTATGCCTGAACGTGTTTGCTTGTGCGTCTGTTTTGGGGAGGTGCATCGTGGTAATGAGGGAGGACACTGCAGGCGCCTGTGGTGAGGCTTTTGCACTGTCTGATGGAGTACGTGTGTGTCTGTGTGTGTGTGTGTCTGCAGGGTAGTCAGCCCTACGAATTTTTCGCTGTCCACACACACACACACACACACATGCAGGAGTAGTCGACGTGCACACACAGGGACAAACACGCACAAATACTCACACACACATGCACACACACGGTGTCTCTGCGTGTCAAAGCAGCCAAGACCAACTACCACCCACTGTAGTCATGACAGGTGCTAAAAGAGAGCCCAGCAGAGAAATTACTCCACTCAGAGTTTCCCAGATGCTGCCGTAAAACAGCCCACTTCATCTGTACCATAACAGACACCAGCGCAGCATTTCCTCGTCTTCCCATCTTCAGTTCGCCAAACGCTAGATTTGCACAGTATGATCAAAGATTCCAGAGAGCCAGCTCACTCGTGTATCTTTCCCCATCTTAGTTGCTCTCCCTGTCTCTGTCCAACTTCCTGTCTGCCTGTCACTTTTTCTCTCTGCCTGCGTCCGTGCGCTCTGGTTACAGGGTGAGGTTTTGGAGGAGTCCCATGTTCTTGTGTGGCATGGTGAAGGCTGCCCGTGGCGGGGCAGGGCAGGCGGGGCGGGGCAGAGCTGGCTGTGAGCACCGGGGCTGGGCACCATGCCAGGCTCTGCCCACTCACCCTCTCTAAGCCAGCTGGGCACTCTCACTGGTTTTAACCCTTCCAAACCTGCTGTCCACTGTGCACTAGCAGGTTTGGAAGTCTTCGTTGTCACTGACAGACAGACTTGATGTCATGCCTAAAACATTTGTTTCAGTATTTCTCTGATACTGGTAACAACCTCGCATGTCCATGTTCTCTAAGATATCTAAAGCATCTGTGGTGGATGTTTCCACAGCAGGCTTTGACATCAGCCCTCACAATCGAAAAGCAGTGGCTTCTTTGTTCATTCATCATTTCGACATGTAGCGGTTACACAAACAGAGATCCTTGACAGAGCCGAGATGTCATTGTCTCTTCTGACAGAGGTCTTGGTAGACCAGAAGGCATTTCGTCAATAAGACATGCTGTGTGTCTTTTTCTCTCACTATCACTCTCAGTCTCGCTCTCTTAAACTGCAGGTTCAGGAAGTTACACTACACACAAAATGAAACAAGTTATTGTTCTGTGAGATAAAGGAAAATTCAAGCTGAGGTAGAATGAGACAAAACAGGTTCAGGATATGTGGACTGTCAGCCTGTTTTCATTCCCACTGCGTCAGATACCGCTGCTTTGTTACAACCCTCGGAATGTGATACTGACACTGGAGGCATCCTTTAGCATGTTTATGTGACACCCCGGGTTCTCAACTAACTCCAATGTAAACCCATCCACGGCAATACCTGACACTGAGAGCGACTGATGTAATATAAAGAACAAGAAAGGCTGCTAAGGGTGGGAGAGAGGGGAGGAGTAAGGGTCAAACAAAACCGGACTTTCACCCAGGAGATCCAACACGTTCTCATCCCAACTTTTCAAATACTGCCACGTTGTTAGTGGACATAGACTTCAAAATATGACGCACTAGGCCTAGGTAGCCTCCTTTGTCTCTTTTGGATGTTCACTGACTTTGTATCAATTTACGTTTGTGACATGCATTGTGTCTTTTCAAAATACACTTCCGTTTTCACAGGAAATGGACAGTTTCTGCTCATTACATGCATAAAAAGAAATGTATTTATTTTATGGTTGATTTCTTTAGGTTTAGCCATCAAAAGAAGTTGATGGTGGCGTTAAAAACTGCCGCCAAACGCTGCATATCATTACTGCCTCAAAGGGTGCCTGTCTGTGTCTTACATCCACTGACTATTTGATGACTTGGTTTTTTGCCCGCTGCCTCTAAAACTGACGTTCCTGGTGCGTATCATACCACCATGAAAGGGGCCTCAGTGCATCTCTGACGCTGCCATCACTGACAAAGCGGTGGTATTTGACGAGTTGGGAGTGAGAACGGGCTGGGAGACCACAGTTTGTGTCCCGTGTGAAACCAAACATTACCGTCATTTTAAAGTAATTTTACATAATGTACATACATTACACCATCATTTTTCTAAACCAACTATGTAGTTTTGCTGCCTAAACCTAACCACGGCCGTCTCACAGCATTAACCACATGGTACAGTGTGTTTTAGCTGAGCGTCACATAGTATGTCACTATCTGATGCCGACAGGCGTGACAAAGCGTCACCATTTTGCGGCCTGAATGAGAATGGGTTGAGACTGTATACACTAGAACACTTAATGTACAAAATGACATTACGTACTCAACTTAAAGGGCACTTGGAGAGCACAGACCTCCACTGAGGCCAAATGCCCTATCTTACGATGCTATCGAAAGTGTAAAGTAGTTTAATGTATGCAACCCATGACTCTGATCTGCTCCAAAATTTATTTCTTAATACAAAGCTACACCCTCCCATTGAATTTCATAAAAACTGTGCTTGTAGTTTCAGAAAACAGAAAACATAACCTCTTTGGTGAAGGTAATTCCCAAAAAGCATTTTTTTTCTAGTCAGTATTTAGTATATTTTTGTTTTTGGTGTTTGTCATTTACTTTGGGGCTTCAGCTAACAATAACTGTCATTGCCCATTGATCTGGCAATTATTTTTTCAATCAAAAATCTTAATTGAGAAGTTGAAACTTAAAAATGTTTGTTATTTTTGCTTAAAAAAGTATTAATTAATTAATTAATAGTTGCAAATTAATTTTCTGTCAGTCAGCTAGCGAAGAATCAGCTCACCTGAGGTTGTTTTGACACTGTATGTGCTGTGCAATGGACACCTCAACCAAAGTTCACTCTGTTAAAGCATTTGCGGACTCAAACCCACGACTGTGCCAGAGTTAACTCTGCTCTGAGCAGCAGTACAGGACCACAGATCTTCCCAAGGTGTGTCCCTGTTGTCGCACGTTACCACAGATTACCTGCTTTGTTTGGGCTGTCATGTCAAACTTAAATCCGTTATTGTAGAAGTGGCAGAGGGGCTATTGTGTTTAGCAGCTCCTGTCTGTAGAGGCAGCAGCGAGGTCTGGAGGGAAGCCAGTGTGGTGATGGCTGTAATGGATTCACACAGACGAGTGGCTCTCTGGGTCACCACGGGAACCTGGATGCGTGTGTGACTCACCTACAGCAGCAACAAAGACTTTCTATGTGCATGTGTAAATGGGGCCCAAATGTGTGTTTACTTTATCTCACGTTTTCACTTTTTTTTCTCCCTCTGTGTCTTCTTTTACAGTGAACACTGATACAGAAACAGCAGTGGTGAATGTTACGTACTCAACCAAGGAGGAAGCTAAAGAGTAAGCAGCACAAATAATGACTCTGATTAAGCCTAGCACTTAGAGTACAGGCTGTGATATACTTGTTTTTTACCTGTGTGTGTTCAAGCAAGCAGCGTAACACGAGCAGCATTGTTCACCTACTTTTCTGTGTGAGGATTAAGAAGAATATCCACCAGTGAGAGCAGGGCCGAATCACGCTCGAAACTGGAATATTCTCCTTGAGAACTTCTGGTTCTATAAAATATGTGTCATTAAACATGGTGGTGCCCAAAGAAGTTACTACATAGGTAATGTTCAGATGACGGCAGAAAAAAAGCAGCTGCGACAACACTTTCTGTTGCAGCATACATCCACATATCATCTCTGTGCATGCCACAGACACCCATAAACTGAGCTTTTTGAAAATGATGCCAAGAGTGGATTAATCTTAAAGCACCAGCTTAGCATTTTAGTGTGCAAAGACAAAATTCATGTAAGCAAGAACAACTGAATTGTGAGTATGGCTGTATTAAAACACGATAAAGGCGATCACAGAGAACAGGAGGAGACTTAGTTGAGGTTAAACCTGCTATGACTCCAATCTACTCCTCAATACATGTTGCGCTGTGATTTGTAGGTTAGTTGTTTGACTAAAAACAAGGCAAAGAAGACATCAAGCTGTTTTTCTTGCTGGTTTAAAAATTTACACCATTATTGTTGTCATGTGTTGCTGCTGATGTTAACTTGAATGACATATTGTCACTAATGTTTATGTGCATCTTGCAGATGCTTAGCATTGATTTCTCATAATGTGCACAACCAGTACTTGTAAGGAGGTAGCATTGTGTACACGCATTAAAAGCAAGTATATCATAAAGGGACAGTTCACCTAAAAATCAAAATACATATTTTTCCTTTTACCTGTACTACTTTTTATTATTCTGGGTGTTTTGGTGTGAGTTGCCGAGTGTTGGATATATCAGCCTCCAGAGGTTGGAAAAGAAATTGATGCAGCATAGTATCATGATATTTTGTGTGGCAATATTGTATCGATACATGGAGGACAAGTATCAGTATTTTATTATATAAACTATTAATGTTGCAAACACAAATTAAACTCATGGTAGCCAACTAGAATGAAAAAATAAATTGCTGTTTCAGTCCACTAGATGCATTTTGCTGCAATAAAAATGATTCTTGTGAAATAAACAGACTGGAAACTTTATTTAATTGGATACAAAACAGATGTTGACAATGTTTTTTTCTTAATTAGCAGTTGAAAAAAGGTAATAAATTGCAATATATATATCACAATATATGTTACTGCAATATTCACCATACTGAAAAACATTTAAAATTGCAATAGTATTGTATCGCGGCCTAAGTATTACTATAATATTGTATCAGAGTATTACCTCTACAGCTGTAGAGATTTCTGCCTTATCTCCAGTGTAATGGAACTAGATGACACTCAGCTTGTGGTGCTCAATGCATCAAAAAAATGAATAAAATAAAATAAATTGGAAAAACTCAACAGCAATGTCTCTTTCCAGAGATCATGACCCAGTTACTCAAGATAATCCACAGACCTTGTTGTGAGCAGTTTCATGTAGGAACTGTTTTGTTTCAACCAAACTACACCCTCCAACTGTATCACTACGCAGAAGGAAGTGTGCATCTACTCATGGATGAGAGGCTCGTACTTGTGACAACTTGAGATGTAAAAATTAATAGTGTCCTCCTCAGCTGAGCTGCAACATTGGTTAGCTCAGTAGTGCTAGGTGAGCTAGCAGTAGAGCAGTCCATCCACATGGTGATCTGGTTGGCAGATGTTGTTTGGTAGAAAGAAAATAGTTCCTTCGTGAAACGGCTCGCAGCAGGGTCTCTGGATTATCTTGAGTAACTGGAACATGATTTCTGGAAAGAGACATTCCAATTGAGTTTTTCAAATGTATTTTTTTTTGGTGTTTTAAGCATCACAAGCCAAGTGCCATCTAGTTTCATTATATTTGAGAGAAGGCAGACATCTCTACGGTCGATATATTCAACTCTCGGCAACTCACACCAAAACAATCTTAACAAAAAGCAATACAGGTAAGAGAAATAATATGAATGTTTGATTTTATTTCAATGGATTTTGCAAACTCTCAGACAAGAATTAAAACAGAATCTCTATACTGTGATATTATTATTTCTTTGCATTGTAATTTGACACTTAGACCCATAATTTCATTGTTACCATCTTACACTTCCTGTTCCCACCCCCAGAGCCATTGAGAAGTTAACAGGACACCAATTCGACGACTACTCCTTCAAGGTGTCATATATTGCTGACATGGATGCTGCTCCGCCCGACCAGGCTCCCCGCACGCGGCGTGGGGGACGGTCGTCCCGGGACCAGGGCACCTGTCAGCCTGGGCCCTCGGGAGAATTCGGTGCTCCACGCTCCAGACATCATGACTACCCCCTGCGCATACTCGTGCCTACTCAGATGGTGGGAGCCATCATCGGCAAGGACGGTCAGACCATTAAGAATGTCACCAAACAGACACAGTCCAAGTAGGTTTGATGATCTCGCCTGGTTCCTACTGTTTTGTTTGTTTGTTTTGTTCTGTTTGTGGTTTTATTAACTTCTCAAACAGCTCTGCTCTAATACTGCTCAAGCTTGAATTAATTATGCATTTTGATACTCTATCCAGACTTGGATTTGAAGACCAGATGTCTGAGATATGATGCAACATAGCACACAATAAAAGCTTTAACTTAGCCTGTATTGTTTATGGCTTGTTTACTGTCACCTTATGTTATTCTTTTGTGACAAACACCATACAGTTTTCAAATAGTTTCTTTTCTTTTGGATGCCTTCAATTGTTGTCTTTCTATTCTTCTTTTCAGTACCTTAATTTTCTTTCTTTGTGTGCTTTCGGTCTGTAAGGCCCAAATGACAAATGTTTTTATTAACAATGTGAGTAGATTAGATGTTGTTCTCTCGTCTCTGTCTCTTTCCTTCTCTATGCTGTGTTAATCTCTTTGTCTCTCTCTCTCTCTCTCTCTCTCTCTCTCTCTCTCTCTCTCAGGGTCGACATCCATCGAAAAGAAAATGCAGGTGCGGCAGAAAAGCCCATCACCATCCACTCAACTCCTGATGGCTGCTCCTCCGCCTGTCGCATGATCATGGACATCATGCAGAAGGAGGCCAACGAGACCAAGACGTGAGTCTGCACTTCGACATACGCCAACATGCATAAGCGTGCATATAAATGCACTCAGGTGTAGCTCACGCAGAGCACATATACACTCCCAAAGGGAGATTAGCCATAATGTCTGCAGGGCTGTAATCTTATCCTTTAACCTGCCTGCACACCTTTTAATCTCACTGTGCATTCTCTCGCTTGGACCACTAACACAGTAAACACAGTGCACACGACATTCTCACATAGGCGAACACGTGATCACAGCTTAGTATTAAAGAAACGAGGCCCATTTGTTTAATTGGGCTTTACGCTTTACACCTTTTGCACCTTTTAAAACTCTTTGAGCTTCTCCTGGATCTGAGCCTTGTTTGTCAAAGGGTCTGCGCACCTTTGCACTACCCGATGATGTTTGCACACAGTCGATGTTGTGTCAGTGAGATCCTACGTTACTAGACTCATAAAAAAGACATTTGCCTACATTTAAATATGAAAATGTCTTGCAAGACTTGCATGATAGATCCTAGAAAACATAACACTTAAATTACCCAGCTTTTTTTTTCTGTGATAACTTAAAAACCTTGCTTCCTGCCAATGTCCTGACATCCAGACTAAGTTGGGTCTTAAATGTATGTGACCATGTATGTGGTCTTCTTCTTTTTTTTGTTTGCTAGGCAAGACATCCAAGCCAGGTTTTTGTATCATTAAAGAAACATAAAGCTTTGTATCATTTTGGGAAATATGACTGGAAAAGAGGGAGTGTGGGGAAAAAGCAAGTCTGACTAAATTTAATTTGTTTTATCTGTACAAATACTGAAAACAACAAAAAAGACAACAACAGCTAAAAGTTTCCTGTTTTAGTTAGTGAGGCTTTCATGTGCTGTTAGGTACATTTTGTTACTTTTGGACAGAACCAGGCTGTTTTTCCTCTGTTTCCTGTCTTTATGCTAAGCTATGCTAATCAGCTGCTACCTGTAGCTTCATGTGTTTTTATGGATCTTCTCATCTAACTCTCTGCAAGAAAGCAAATGACCATATTTCCCAAAATATTTAACCGTTAATTCAAGTTTGTAAATAAAGAAAATAGATAATCTTTTGAATCTGTTTTCATTGAATTTTTTTTACTACATGAGAAAAAAATAGAGGAACAAAGAAAGAATCCCCCACCACCCACAGCCTAGGCGCATTATGGTAGAAATTTTACCCTCATTCACGACTGGAAAATAGAAAAAAGCTCCGGAGGACAAATTTCCACACTAAATCACTAGCCTATGGGATGTAATGATATAGGCCAGAAAAGAGCCCCATTTTTTTCAGATGTTGCTGCTTTTCCTCCTCATACTGAACATGACCTTTTCATGGAGGGTTGTCAGTTTTTGTGTCAATATTGAGGGGTTCTTCCACCAGAAAATTTTAAGTTAATATCTGAAGTTATTGCAAGGATGTATTTCCAAAGCTCATCCAGATAAGAGCAAGTCCAGAGCATGTGAAGTAAAATTCCATCGTAGGTTTTACATCTTTGGAAAAGAGTGAAAGTTTAAAAAATAAAAATCTTGCATCCCCTCTGGCCCACCAACTTATTTTCCTGATGTGGAAGGACAGGGCTCCACCTTCACATGCCCATTGGGTCAGAGAGGTGAAGGTACACCTAAAGCTTGAAGAGCTGAGACATTGCAGTCAGGGCTCTATTAAAAATACTACAAGGCGTGGCGTATCTACTCATTTATTTAATTGTCTTAATTATTTTTTGATTTATTCTTACCATTGATTTGTTTTTAGTTATTTATGTCTTGCTTAACCTCCTACTTGTTATTTTAATTGATGTTTGCCAATGTGCTGTGTTCCACTTATACAGAATCCCGAAAAATGCAATAAAAACAGTTGAAAAATAAAATTCAGATGACACTAGTGTGGGCTGTAACGCTAAATGCCACCAACATTTTCCTCTAAATTAAAAAACAAACAAAAACACTAAAAGCAGCTCAAAACCAGAGACCAAAAATAACACAAGTTGCTACTTTCTACCTGTGGTTTGTGGACTACTATTTTAAAGCCTTGAGTTCAGCAAATTGGCCGTCGCCATCTTGGTTCATTTGGAGGCAGAAGTGACCATATTTGGGCGAGAGGCTTGCAGCCCGTCACTCAAAGCGGCCCTGCCCTTTATAATGTGTAACTTTAAGCATTAATTAAATGTAAATAGGTGAGTTACGGAAAAATTCACCCTTCGTACAGCTGTCATGAACGGGGAAATTAACTGTATAGCACAAAACCCTTTCTTGTAACAGGCTGTAAACATGTTTATATCTGCTGTAAAGTTGACTAAACAACATCACCCTTACCATTCCTACAGGTGTGGGTGCCACACCTGTAGGAATGAACATGTCACCTCTACCGCCCCACAACCTGTAATTTCAGTGAGCATAAGGAGGCCCAACACCCAGTGAAACCCGAAACACTAAACTCGGCCCCTGAAGGCACAACACTGTCATCTCCCCTTACTGCCCCACAGCTCACCCCAAACTAATTCAACTTTAAAGATCTTACAGATTATTACACACACCACCAAGTCTGTGACACAGCCCAAAAGAAACCCACAGAATCTGCTTCTCCTCCACCACAACCTTTTTTCTTTCTTCTTTTAAAAACATATTTAATTTATAGATTTTCAGTTTTTCTGTCAGCCAGGTCTTGAAAGAGGGCACATCCCCAGTTTTCCAGAGAGCTGAAATATTCCTTTTTCCATAACCATGCCATACTGTATTGTCTACTGTTGCAAGTGGGATGGTAGTGCATCAGTCTGGTGTAATATCACAGTTCTCCACCACAACCTAAATCCACACTTACACCCCGCAATTGTCCCACAGAGCAGAAAAACGGATCATTCAGAAGTTACGCTACTCCTGTCCCAATGTTTTACCATCTCCATCTTAACACACACACATGCGCACAAAAATAGGGTTTGCTGTTTTGAATTTGGTTTTCGGAAAATAGCTTTGCTTTTTTGATGGCTTCCTTATTTTCGAATAATTTCATAATAGTTTCCTGGAGAAAACTGTAATTTGGTGTTAAGCATGTGCAAAATAGAGACAGAGGTCTAAAACTTGAGGTAGAGTAGTAAGTTGTGTTGAATTTAAAAGCAGTCGATGATTTCCAGAGAAATTTATTTGAAAGAAGGGCTCCATTTATCTTCAGGCTTTCATTGTCTACAAAACAATTCATGAATCACTGGCAAAAACATTTACTGTATAATAATTGAGAAATGACTATAAAATATTGAATATTAGAAATAGTTCATCTTCCCTCCTTCCTCATGCTTTTTTAGTAGAAAGAGGGACTTAAGCATCAAAATTAAACAACCATTACAATTTTTGTCCATCTGTGCACCAGACTATTTAGGGGTTTCGAAGAGCCATTTCATGGAAAATTAACTCTCTTAAATCATCATAATTAGTACGGCACAAAAGAAAATGGAACTCACTTTCCACTTTATCCAAATTACACAGCTTACACAATTTGTTTTCCTCCTGAATACTTTTTAAACCTGCCAACCCCAATAGCAAAAGGAAGAACACCAGTTCTCAACAGTGACACTGAAGATAAACCTATGAGATAAACAAGATGTAACATTTGATTCAGGGCCAAGCTTTTGTTTTAAATTCCATATATGTCCTTTAATTTGAAGCAACATTATTATTAGAGACTTTATTATTCGTTTGATTACGTACTTGCCTTTAGACAAAATTTAAGCTTCTTACATGTTCAATTAACCCTATGGGCCCGAACGACGCATAGTGCATCCAAATTCACACCTGTTCTTCTCTGTGGATTTTCTCCACGACCGTGCGTCATAGCAAGAAGCCACGAATATCACTTGTCGGTAGTCCAATGTTTTCATAGAGAAAAAAATGATAAACTTACACTAAAATCATGAATAACAGAGCTTTCATACAGCTCTGCACACACATTACTCTTGGATGGATTACTCGCGAATACAGGCTAGCACAGAAATGCCACGCATATCACATGAAAGCGCAGGAGCAGAGCTTTCCAGTGATACCACACACATCACTGTGTTGTTATCCTATCATGCTATAAATACAGATTTATTGTCTACAAAATAAAAACCTGGCGAATTTCTTTACAATCCATTATACAGATCTTGTTATCAGTCACTTCATATAGTGAGGAATATCATATCTTACCACGTCTTAGGCTTGTGTGTGTTTCTCCCTGTCTATCCACATTTGTAGTCCGGCTTTCAAGATGCAAATATCTCCATATTGTCCAGTTGACACTCCATCAAACTTTGTATGACAAGACCAGCCACTTCACCTTTGCGCACCCAGACAACTGAGGCCTAATTATGCATGCATGACAGGGCCGTAGTCACCATATACATTGAGGGGGACATGTGTGCCCCCCAATGCCCAAAATGCCCCCCCAATATATAACTGAAACTGAAAAACAACAACAAACTTTGTTTACTGCAAACAAAGTGGCAAATATCTTGGAGGGCATCATTGCACATGGTTGACTATTTTTCTATGATTTTAGATGTAAATATTGCATGTTTCTTTCAGATAAAACACATTTTTGACTTGTGAATGAGTCAATGGAATTTCAATGGAACATGTTTTGGACAGCTGTGAAGTGACAGAATGTCCCAGCATCATGGTTCTTATATTGCCAGATTCCAGAGAGTCTCCCCTCTTCATATATGGCAGAATATGTCAACTTCCAACTTGCTATGGTGAGATACATGTAAAAATGTAACAATTTAGTTACACGGATTTGTTTTTTTCCATTGATATAAAAATTAATATAAAATACAGGCACATAGAAGGACATGAAATGATGGCAAATCTGGTTAGCTCAGATTGTCCTGAAAAAAAACAAGATATAGCGTGTGTATGTAGCCTTTATAATGACTGTGATATGAGCTTAAAAGTAAAGGCAGTAAAAATACCCCAAAAACGCCTAGGGCCCATAGGGTTAAACTGCTGTGCACTGACTATAACAGGGGATGCTGGTTTAGCAATTAAAGGAACAGTGTGTAAGATTTAGGCGGATTTAGTGCCATCTAGTGGCCAGGATTGGCAATTGCAATCAGCTTAAACTTCTCCTGTTTAGGATTCCTTCACTGTTCATTGTTCAGGAGGTTTTTATCGGGAGCCGAATTATCTGCAGAGGTTGCCTCCTCTCCAAAACAAACAGACCAAGTGATTGAAACTTGTAAAACATTAGATAAAGTAGTTTCACATTACAAATCAGTGTTTCTCTGATGATGTTTGGCATGTGGGAGAGAGGACCCTAGCGCAACATCTGCTAGTGTGTACTTAGATCCAGACATTCAGGGGGTTTAAGCGGGAGACAGATCATCCACAGTGGTCTCTTCCTCTGGTTTGTCCAGTCTGGGCTACTGTAGTAACATTGCGGTGCACCATGGCGAACTCCGTGAATGATGACCCTAATGACTTATTCTAAGTTAACGAAAAGGCATAAATTCCTAATTTCAGCCGATTATACACTAAAGAAAACCTACCCATTATATTATATACTTCTGCCTATATATCCCTCTATGTCCTACATACTGGACTTTTAATTAGAATGAATTATTTGCCGATTGAACACTGTCACTATTTAACCTATAATTACCACCAAATTACACGATTCTTTTCAGGAAACGTCCGAGGAAATTATGAGGAATTAAACTAAAGAATCTAGTTATGTATCAGTTTTTTTATTTTGATGATTAAAAACCAAAAGAAACAATACAAAAACCCAGAACAAAATCTGTTGTTTTACTGTTTTCACTTGGGACTCCGGCACATTATCAGCAGATTTGTTTTCACTCTGTTCTTCTCTTCTCCTCCTGTTACCAGAAGTATTTTCTGAGCTGTGGTTGTTGCAGCAGTACCTTGTTTACTGTAAACTGTGGTAAACAGTGTCTACTTGCAGCAGGAAACTTTTAGGTGCATGTGGACCAAAACTCTACAGGGATTTATTTTTCTTTCTTGTATAAATCTGGGTGCTTTTCTGTGAAAATCTGTAAAAAAAAAAAAAAAAAAAAAAACACCATTGTGCACACATGGCCAAATAAAAGGCTCATGTCTTAACATTGTGCCCTGTGCTTACAGCAGCACTTCCAGCTGGGCAGCTGTCCACATTCCTGTTCATCCCCATCACACCATGGCATTCCTCACACCACATCAGTGACACTCAGTGAGACTTATCTTCTATCATCCAACCTAACCTGACTCTGTGTGTGTGTGTTTGTGTAGGACGGTGGAGGACATCGCTCTGAAGATCCTCGCCCACAACAGCCTCGTGGGCCGACTGATTGGGAAGGAAGGCCGCAACCTGAAGAAGATCGAGGAGGAGACAGGGACCAAGATTATCATCTCCCCGTAAGTTGCCTCTCCCGCCTTCCTCTTTCACACACGCCCACGACACTCTGCGGCGATGCCACTGGCCATACTAGCACCCTCAGGAAAACTCACGCGCACACACACACACACACACACACACACACACACACACACACACACACACACACACACTTGAGTGCTTGTGTGATTGTGACATGATGGAGAAGCAGCAATTTTTACTATCATTAATTTAAAGAAATACTTCACCCCCAGATGACCACTTGTGTATCAGTGATTCAGTGTCACGATGAATTAGTGAAGTGTTTATCTTGCATGTCTCCATGGAGAACGAAGAATCCAAAAACTGAGAAGATTCTTGATGAATTAAAGTGACAAGGGGCTGCATTTAACAACAGCAAAACATCAGTTTACAACCTCTCACACAACTCGTGCAGTATAATCCAGTCTAAACAATCAGCCTAAACCACGTAGTTTCCCGACCCAAGCCCGCACCATGGCAACAGTTTTGGGCCAGAGTCTGAATAAAAACCTGAAATTCTCTTGTTACAAAATATATTGTACTGTACATATCATAATATATATTTTTTACAAGCTGAGGGCTGACGTGTTTCCTTGCACCACTTTGCTTTCTTCTTTTCCTAATTTCAATAGTGTTGTCTCGTGCACAACAGGTCCGGCAGAGCGGGCTGCGGCCCTCGGTGTGTTGACTATGCATGGCAATTTATGCTAGTGTAGTGCGCAGATGATGACCACTGCTCTTCACTGCATGTAACACACATCTCACCCACTTCAGGGGTTGCAATCAAACACTGCCAACCAAGTCGTCTTGCAGCCCCGTCCTCTTTTTCTTTTTCGTACTTTTTGTCCCTTTCTTGTGCGTGCTCTATTCCTCCTTTTAGACAGTCATGAGCTGGCTTGGCTTGGTATGGTCCGTCAGCCCAGCACAGCAGGGATTTGCATTTCCATTACAACAGGGCTACTTCGTTGAAGGTGTGTCTTAAGTGATGATGTTTTATGTTGGGGATTAGCTGTGGTCGGCGAGATGTCACTGCCACTTGAGGGCTGGCGGCTTTTGGACCATCCCCTGTGAGGCTCCATCTCCGGAGCGGCTTGATATGGCACGGTGTGTCTAAACTGACAATGGAAACAAAAATCGGTGCGTCATTACTTTACTCGGCGTGGCCAAGAGTGCTAATGGAAAGGGTAGGCTATATCTCTCTCCCCCAGTTCTCCACTATATTGCTCTGTTGTTCTGTCACTTTCCCTCTCTCAGCCTCCCCTTCTTTGCCTCAAAAAAAAAAAAAAAAAAAAAAAAAGTAAATTGGCCAGAACCTGAACCGATTCAAGCCCAGTGAAACAATAAGAAATTACTGCCTGGCCTAGCCCAAACATGGTGGGTCAAGGCGATCCCACTTGGCCTCGGACAGAGAATCAGAGCTCTTATATTCGGTACTTCCCAAACAGGTGGCTCTTTCTGGTGGGGAACTGAAGTAGAAGTGAAACTTATCTATACTTACTCTATTGACAAAAACAGTCATTTTACCGCCCTGAACACGAGAGCTGCTGGTCTACTGCTGCCCGTCTCTGTGTGACTATGGTGTTTTTAAAGGGTTAGTTTGATTTCACCACAGATTGAGGCAGCGGTAAACCAGCGACTTCCGTGTTTAGTAGGCTAAAATGACTGTTTTTGTCAGTGGAGCCTGGCTGTAAAGAGAGTATGGATAAGTTTCACTTTTAGTTCAGTTGCCTGTTGGAAAGGGCCGTCTGTTTGGGAAGTGCTGAGCATACGACTGTATAAATGAGACTTGGATTACTGGATAATTTGATGTAGTTTTGTTGTTGTCAAACCTGGACCCCTCCCCTTTACATCAATTCATCAAATATTTTCTTCCTTTTTGGATTCTCCATTCACCCTGTGGGAAAAACAAATTCCACGTAACACAGGGTGAGTAACTGATAAATGGTAATTTGGGGCTGAAGTATTCCTTTAACAAAAGCACAAACAACAGGCAGAGATTTCATCTTCTCAGCGCCACACCTTTGTACAAGCATGCTCATTAGCCTCTCAGCATGTGGTTTATCTGAACTGAGTTGTTAGGGAACAAATGTGAAGAGTTGCTTACAGCTCCTTCCCTCTAGAACATGATATCGGAGAGGTGGTGATTACACCCCATTTAACGGACCGTGCTCACCAACCTTCATTCATTTAGAGCTAATGAATTGCTCTGTCTCTGTGAGCTCTGAGGACGTAATGAGCCTTGAGAAAGAGACTGAGTTGAGGAGCGAGAGACAAAATGGGCAGGAGAGGATCCCTCTGAAAAAGGAATCTTTTCAGAGTGTTCTCCTCGTCCACAGACGCCGAGTAGAGGAGATTGGTTCTGCTTCAAAGTTATCATTTGTACAACTTCCAGGCTTTATGGAGCAATCGCAAATTTGATTCATGGATGGAGTTGTTAAAAAAGATTACGTTCTGCTGTAACTGCTGTGCTATTTTCTCAGTCGCACTGTGGTCAGCTCACCTGCTGTATAAGTCTCTAGTAAAGGTGAGAAAAAAAAAACTTGTTAAGATGTTACTGTACCCAAGTGAGCTTCATAGTTGCACAATCAGTGCTTTGCAAAAAATGTGAGAACTACTTTCAGGGCAAGAGTTTTGTTCACTCAAACTTTTTTGACCCTAAATGATGTTAACTATGGTTTAATTTCAGACAGATTGAGTCGTGATTTGGCACAGAATAAAAGGATCAAGCTAAATATCTTGTTGCAGTGTTTTTACAGTAATGCTTCTTGTACTGTTTTGCTCCTCAGACAATAATAAGAAAGGATGGAGGATGGATGAATCCATTTCATTGTCACTGTACTCAGGGATGGGCAGTATTTCTATTACTTGTATTTAAAATACATATTTCAATTAGTATTTTGTAATTTGTATTTGATAAGGCCTATAAAAAGCAAATGTAATTTGTAACAAAATACTTTTGAGTGGAATCATTTTGTATTTAAAATACTCAAAATACTTTCTCCATGAATCAAAAAACAAAAATAATAG